CAATGTCAGCGAGAACTTGATTTCCTCTCTAATAAGTGCCATGCATGTATATTTAACTTGTATCTTCTGCTTATTATGTCCCTTTGGCTCTGGTCATTGCTATGATGTGCCATGTAAGGAAGGAGGAAAATACAAGAACTTCATGGATGTGGACACATAAGTGTAATGACCCGGAAACTCATATATTACTCGCTACGTTCAGATTATAAAACATACTGTCCATTGGTTTTCCCTTAATTTCTCTTTCACTTCTTGACAGAAAAATAAAGAATCATGGAAGTAAATAAACAGCATGTCGTTCAATGTCTAAGTTGGAGTATTGCTTCTTGAGAATTAATTGAATTCCATAAGTTCCTCTGGTCTGTATATTCAGGTTTAAGCTTTTACCACACCTCAAATTTAACTCTGGTCTTGTTAATTTTGCTTCGTCATCAATTTTCCCCTTCAATATGAATTTTGCAGTATTTCATTCATCAAATGAAATTCAGGACTAAGAAAAAATCATTCTATTGTCAAGTAAACTCACAACTAAAACTTTACAAAGCCATCAAACAATAATATCTAGAGAACATTTTATGATATTCATTTGCCGGGAACAAAGTTTGTGGCAAAGGCCCATGCATTGTTGTTAACTGGATCTGCAAGGTGGTCAGCAAGATTCTCCAATGGACCCTTTCCGGTAACAATGGCTTGAACAAAGAATCCAAACATAGAGAACATAGCAAGTCTGCCGTTCTTAATCTCCTTTACCTTGAGCTCAGCAAATGCCTCCGGGTCTTCAGCAAGGCCTAATGGGTCGAAGCTGCCACCTGGGTAGAGTGGGTCGACAACCTCACCAAGAGGTCCACCAGCAATACGGTAACCCTCAACAGCTCCCATCAGTACAACTTGACAAGCCCAGATGGCCAAGATGCTTTGTGCATGGACCAAGCTTGGGTTGCCCAAGTAGTCAAGTCCACCCTCGCTGAAAATCTGGGAACCGGCCTTGAACCACACAGCTTCACCAAATTTGACACCATTACGGGCCAAGAGCTCAGGGAAGACACATCCAAGAGCACCAAGCATAGCCCATCTGCAGTGGATCACCTCAAGTTCACGGTTCTTGGCAAAGGTCTCGGGGTCAGCTGAAAGTCCAGCGGTATCCCATCCATAGTCACCAGGGAATTCGCCAGTCAAGTAGCTTGGTGACTCACCAGAGAATGGTCCCAAGTACTTAACACGGTCAGGGCCATACCATGGGCTGCTAGATGGGGCAGACTTGGCGACAGCCTTTCTCATAGTGATTCTTCCATTTCCAGAAATTTCTGAGGCAGATGGTGAGAGTTTGACTGCCTGTCCAGCAAATGAAGGGGAAGAAAGAGCCATTGTAGCAGCTGCCATGATTTATATTAAGAGAAAAGTGTTGAGTATTTTATGGTATTAAATATTGTTGAAGGCTGTGATGAGATGAAGTTACAAGGGAATTAATTCACCATATATAGGGATTAAGAAAGAGGGGAAGAGTCCTTATCTCGTGATATCTATATCTATGATCTCATTGGCTATCGAGATCCTACTTGTAGCAAGTATGCACATTTAGCAATCTCCAATCCATCAATTTTCCGAACAAGGGATACATCCAATATTGTCCTCTCATATGTTGCCACAAGGATTGGAATCTGCCCTGTGATTTGTTGAGCTTACAATATGATATCCCTATCATTATCCACTTGCCATTTTTGTAGATATTTTCTCCTGCAGGGTAAAATATACCACCACTATACTATCATTCAATGTAGAGTTATGGTTTAGGAAATTTGAGGAGAAGTTGAAACTAATTACTACTTGATTCATATATTTTGGGAACTTAATAATGCATCTTTATGTTCAGAAAGCAATGTGATTGAAACTTTATTATATTAAACCCTAATTAGCAAAGTTGTTTATGTTAGCCAAACAGGTTATATTGTATTATGCTCATTCACAATACTACATGAGCAATGCTGAGACTTGGAAAGAGCTTGTTCCGAAGAATATGAGCAAAGATTTTAATTTGTTGGAATTCATCAGCATCACAATTTTGGCTGTGTTAAGGGAAAAAGAAATTACATTAGTAAACTTTAACATGTGATAGTAGGTCAATTCACATTTTTTACCAGACTACAGATTAATGTTATCAAGTGATTTGCCTTTAATTACTTACTTAGAAATTTGATTGTGTAAATATTGTTTATGTTATTAGTGCGTAGAACTTGAATTTGTTGTCAAAAAGTGTCATATTTTGCATAAACTTGTGTCTTCTTCTAACTACATATGTATGTCCGTTGGCTCTGGTCATTATTATGTACCTTGTTTTGAAGGATCTGTCAATGATGCTTTTAATCTAAAGATAGTACCACATGAGGAAGGAGGATTGTACAAGAAACTTATGAATTTGTGTAAAGGACACATACTGTATGGACCTGGAAACTTATATATTACTTAATACATTCAGACTACAAAACATACTGGTTTCCTTCCCTTGTCTTTGAAATTTCAATGCTCTGGTAGTGAAATGAAACAATGCGGAATCATGTAATACATCATGTTTTTCAACATTAGTACTTTACACTAATTCTGAGTATTGTTTCTCGAGAATTAATCGAATTCCATAAGTTCCTCAGGTTTAAAAATTCAAGTTTTAAGCTTACAACAGCTTTAAAGTTTTTCTTGTTACCACATCTCATATGTATCTTCACTCTTTTTTGTTCTGTTCTCTTTCTTTAATTTCCCCTTTGGTATGAAAGTGGCAATATTTGATTCATAGCTTTGGAAAATGTAACTCAGAACTACACAATCATAGGAATTTTGAAAAAAAAATCCATTCTATTAAGTCACAACTACTTTACAGGGCCATCAAACAATCAAAATTCAAAAAATATATTATGATATTCATTTTCCGGGGACAAAGTTTGTGGCGAAAGCCCAAGCGTTGTTGTTAACGGGGTCTGCAAGGTGGTCAGCAAGGTTCTCCAATGGACCCTTTCCGGTAACAATGGCCTGAACAAAGAATCCGAACATAGAGAACATAGCAAGTCTGCCGTTCTTAATCTCCTTTACCTTGAGCTCAGCAAATGCCTCGGGGTCTTCAGCAAGGCCTAATGGGTCGAAGCTGCCACCGGGGTAGAGTGGGTCGACAACCTCACCAAGAGGTCCACCAGCAATACGGTAACCTTCAACGGCTCCCATCAAGACAACTTGGCAAGCCCAGATGGCTAAGATGCTCTGTGCATGGACCAAGCTTGGGTTGCCCAAGTAGTCAAGTCCTCCCTCGCTGAAGATCTGGGATCCGGCCTTGAACCACACAGCCTCACCGAACTTGACACCGTTACGGGCCAATAGCTCAGGGAAGACACATCCAAGAGCACCAAGCATAGCCCATCTGCAGTGGATCACCTCGAGTTCACGGTTCTTGGCAAAGGTTTCAGGGTCTGCTGAGAGTCCAGCGGTATCCCAGCCGTAGTCACCAGGGAATTCACCAGTCAAGTAGCTTGGGGACTCACCAGAGAATGGGCCCAAGTACTTAACACGGTCAGGGCCATACCATGGACTGCTAGATGGGGCAGACTTGGCAACAGCCTTTCTCATGGTGATCCTTCCATTTCCAGAGATTTCTGAGGCAGAGGGTGAGAGTTTCACTGCCTGTCCGGCAAAAGAAGGAGAAGAAAGAGCCATTGTAGCAGCTGCCATGGTTTTTAAAGAGAGGAAAATGAGGGAGTTGCTAGTTTGATATGTAAAAGTTAGTTGTGATGAGCTGAAGTTATTGAAACTTCACTATATATAGTAAGTAAGATAGGGAAGAGTCCTTATCTAGTGATATCTATATCTATGATCTCATTGGATGTCAAGATTACTCTCCATTCACACTTGGCATATCACAAATCCATCAATCTTCCAAGATTTTTACTTTGGGGACCAACCAATATTGTGTGGCTACAAAGATTGCTCTGTCTTTGTTGTTGAGCTTACATTAAAATATCTTCTACTTTTTTCCATTATGACATTCTTTATATATCTTTCATCCAGTAGGGTAAAAGACAACACCACTATTACAGGCATTTTGAGGTCATTACAGCCTGAATCCCTTCTTAGTCTAAAATAGAAAAGAATAAGGGGAAACAAATGAACCATTATGTTAGTTCATTTTTCATGGCTCTATAAAAAAAAAATTGAAATTAGTTACCAACTTGATTGTTAAATTGCTTACTTGTTGTTTACCTACGAAATTTGTCCATTACTAATTTATGTTTTTCTTAGTAGCAGACACATTCTCAACCACTCATACAAGTGGTCCTACGCCAAGGCACACAGAAACATGTGAACTATAACAGTGCTTTATACAATATATTCTGGCCAAGTAAATGTTTCAAAAATCCACCACCATACAAGCCAACTCCTGATAGGGAAATCTAAATTTGGGCTAGATTTTTCAGAGCATAATGCACTAATGCTATCAAATTGTGATCCACCAGTTGAAGAACAGATAATTCTGCTGCAATTTGGTTTTCTTCAGAGAGTCACTCAACTCATAGTTATTATCTTTGTTAAAATGAAAATTAAAATCAAGAATACAGTGACTTTATGAGATAATGGTTATTATATTAGTTGAGTGATCATCTAAGAAATCATTTTGTCTATACCGTCAATGTTATACCCATGTGGTTAAGTCACACATGCCTTTTTTCTCCTTTCTGAATATATTTTACATACTCTTATCAGCATTTGTACTGCACTGGTTTTACTCAAACAAATGAACACACTTTCCACAAAACTTCAGCAGCTATGTTTTCTCCCTGTTCCATTTTTCGGAAACTATTATTAGCAACTATATGATCCAAGCTATAAATGTACACAAGGGAAGTCAATTGTATTGCTAGATCATCCTAGAGTAAATTCTATTCACAATAAGATTTTTAAGACATATACAGTACATAAGCAAAAGTTATTTGGTTCTCGTAAACTCGTACCTGAAACTCTGGATCTAACCCTGGATATCAAAGCTCTTTATTCAGAAAATACCTTAAAATAACATACCAAAAAATCCCAAATCGGCCTAAAATTTCAAACAGAAGTGATTAAATTGTCCTTTGCAGCAGTTGGCGCTCTTTTTCCTTTCCATTTCTTCAACCTTCAACAACTAAAACCCTAAAACCCAATTCAAATTCTGATTCACCAAAAAAATAATTCAAAGACCTTCTCCACATTCCAATTTCTTCTCATCTCTCAAACAATTGGAGAAAAGATTGAAACTTGATGATTCATCTAAACGTGAAGCTGTCGAGACACCAACCCAGTCTTTGATCAGCCGATTATACCTCAACTGTGATGAGACCCCTGCTGACTCCATCACCAGATCCACAAACCTCAAAAAAAGTGAAGGCCCACTTCAATTTCTCTCAAATTCCTCACTTGCCCAAGAAAGTGTTGGTATAGTTGAAGCTGGTGGTAATGGGGTTGATGAGATTGAACTGATGATGCAGCTATTGGGTTTTCGGAGAGTGAAAGGGAAGGACCCAAAAGGGTGGAAGTGGATTTTGGCTGTGATGATGCATTTTATGGAAACATTGTTGGGGTTCAGGGTCCAAAAAGTGAAAAAGAAATGGAGAGGTTTGTGAAGGTGTTGGAAGCTTTGAGTTTCCCTCTGCCATTGATGAGTTCTTGCATAATGATCCACCAATAGATGAGGTTGCTTTTCCCCTCTCTACTAAATAAATTTTTAGAATGCGATGGATCACTGTAGTCTTATTAAGGCGTCTTTTTGAGTTTTCTCTCAATTTCACTTGTATATATTCAAAAGTATAACTGATTTCCTGCTATCCTGTGGACAATCTTTAGTGACAGAATGCATTTGCACTTTGGTCTAGCAATTAACCGCTCGCTGATTCTATTACATGTCATAACTGGAGTACTTCGTAAAGATCGAGCTTTTTGATCCTTAGTTGTAATTAATGTGAAGTAGTCATCAATATGTTGTTCAAATTTCATGATGCAAGTCAACTTTAATTTAATCTAATGTGAGAGTTCAATTATATCCCTCTAGTAAAGCAGAAATACTTGATAGATCATTTATGGCTTGAAAAACATAAATTCTATTTAAATCGTAATTACATTTTGAGTTTTGGACTAGTTCCATTGGCCACCGAGGGAAACTTGGTGGTGGTTCATATTAAGAATGATGATACTCCAGCTTCTACATCAAAAATTTAATATTTTACCAAACAAGCTTGTGAATGCATGATCACCATCTTACTTAGCTTTGAAAGAGAAGACAAAACTTGTTCCATGTCAGGTCTATCATCGGGATCCGGATAGGTGCAGTATAAAGCCAAGTTAAGAAGTCCCTCTACTACCTCTTGGTTCTCGGAGACATGTGAAGCTAAATTCGGATCCACAATCTGGACCAGATTGTTTATGCCATTTGCAAGGGCATTCTGAACAATTTGGTTCAAAGTCATTGGTAATTCATCTGCACCTGTTAGACTTGTTGGCCTTCTTTTTGTAATGATCTCCATCACGATTACACCAAAGCTGAATACATCTACTTTTGTGGTCACTCTCCTCATATATGCAAACTCTGTTTCAAAGAGAAACATTTCGTTTAAGTTAGGTCTCAAATTAAATAAGGAGCGTGTAAAATGTCCAAATAATTCAACATTCTAAAGCTGGCACTAGCATTTTCTGGTTAGACTAAAGGTTGTATTATCATTAAGAAAATACATTTTCAGATTATATGTTCAAAACATTGGATCACTTACATGCTTGTCCATTCTTCCACATACAAGTTAATCATTATTTTGTGATTTGACAGGGAAAGAAAATCTGCTAAGCTGTGTATTATGATTTACAGAAGTGATGTTGTAATAATTATTACCTGGCGCCATGTAACCAATAGTTCCTTCAAATGCAGATGCTGATGATATGCTGCTCCCGTCTTGGTGATGAATGCCCAACATCCTAGCTGTCCCAAAGTCACTCACATGTGCTTCCATATTTTTATCCAGAAGAATATTTGAAGGCTTCAAGTCACAGTGCACTATTGGAAAATCATATCCTGAATGCAGGTATGATAGCCCACTTGCTACTGAAACTAAAATGTCAATCCTATTGGACAATGTCCAGTCATCCGCCATTTGACCATAAATAAAACTGTCCAAGTTCCCATTCTCCATGTATTCTAAAATTACAGCCATTAGCTTCTTGCTTTCCCAAGCATAACCGAGCACCTTAACCAGGTTCCTGTGTTTGAGTTGGCTCAGAGTCTTGACTTCCCTATCAAAGCATTTACGAATTTCTGCTGAGAACTGAAGATTCAGTTTCTTAACTGCTACAATTTTCCCACCTTCCAGTGTTCCTTTGTACACATTACTTGAACTGCTGGCTCCAATAATGTTTTGTGGACTGAAATTATCAGTAGCATGTTCCAAATCCTTTTGATAAAATCTCTGGAGGCTAAGTGCTGAGGTATAATTTGGAATTATATCCTCCGAGTCTTTCACTTTTTGCTTCTTCATGTACAGATGACACACAAATATTCCCACCACATGAAGAATGAGAACCAAAACAGGCCCAAGTATGATCCAGGTTTTCTTGGACAACCCATGAGAACTTGTTTGGTTTCTTTTGATGCTGCATGGACTGAGAAACTCCGTTCCACATAGCGATGGATTTCCCTGTAAATCTGCTGACCTTAAGTTGTCGAATACACCCCCCTTTGGAATGTGACCTTCAAGCTGGTTAAAAGAAAGGTTGAGATATATTAATGCAGGCATATTGGCAAATCTCTCAGGAATGATTCCCTTGAACTTGTTTTGTGAAAGATCAAGTGAGCGAAGATGTAGCAATCCTACCATTTCAGGAAGTTTGCCTTCTAATCTGTTCCTTGAGAGGTTCAAGAATACTAGCTCACTTAACTTGGTCAGAATTTCGCCTGGAGCAGGACCAGACAGCATGTTTCCTGACAGGTCCAGTGAGAATAAGTTTTTGCAGCGTCCTAGGGATCTGGGAATGTTGCCTGATAGATTGTTGTTTGACATATCAATCCCTTGAACCATTTCTAACATGCCAATCTCAAATGGGACCTCTCCATCCAACAAGTTACTGGAAAAGTTCAAGTAAAACTGCATGCTTCTCATGCTGGCTAGTACTACTCTGGGAAAAGTTCCGGTTAGAAGGTTGTGTGAAATGTCTAAGGTCATCAGTCTGTGGAGGCTCTCCATGCTCTCTGGGATTGTACCGTTCAGCTTATTTCCACTCAGGTCCAAAAGCGAAAGCAATTCTAGTTTGGATATCTGATTGGGTATTGGACCGAAGAAATTATTGTTCTGCAGCAGGAGTTCATAGAGGCGTGTAAGCTCAAAAAGTTGCACAGGAAGTTCACCTTCCAGCTTATTGTCTGACAAAGAAAGGCCCTGGAGGTTTGAAAGCTTTGAAACTTCTGGAGATATCACACCTGAGAAACTGTTTTTGTGAAGCACTAAATCTATCAGTTGACTCAATTTACCAATCTCTGGTGGGATTGGCCCAAGAAATGAATTACTATGGGCTCTTAGAACTCGAAGTTTAGAGAGTCCGCCAATCATCGGTTTGAGCTTCCCACTAAAATTATTACCACTCAGATCTAGAACTTCAAGCATTGAACAGTTGAAGAGATCATCAGGAATCTCCCCCCACATTTTGTTTGATCCCAAAGACAAAAATGTAAGATTGGACAACTTCCCCAACCCATTTGGTATTTTACCTGTTATTCTATTAAAAGTGAGGGTTAAAACACGAAGATGAGAACAATTTGTTATGCTAGATGGAATAGGTCCCTCTAGGAGGTTATCACTTGCAGTTAGATTCTTCAGATTATAGAGTAACCCAAGTTCCGGTGGAAGTGATCCTGTGAATAAATTAAAGCTCAAAGACAAATATGTCAAGTTTGCCAGGTTTGTCAAAGTTGATGGAATCTCCCCATACAACCTATTTGAGTGGAGGGTAAGCACTTGTAGTGACATTAAAGATCCAAACTCAGGAGGAATTTTACCAGTTTGCTCATTATGTGAGAGTCCTAAATGAGTTAATGACTTCAAATGGAACAATGAGGCAGGTATACTGGAGTTCAACTTATTGTTATACAATCTGAGCCTGTGCAGGTTTTCTAAATTCCCAAGCTCAGGAGGTACGCCTCCAGTGAATTGGTTATTATACATGTCCAAGGTAACAAGATTGATACAGAGGCCAAGTTCAGATGGGATTTTCCCAGAAAGAAAGTTGTGATGCAACTGAAGAATTTCTAAACTTGACAAGTTGCCAATTTCTGGTGGTATAGGTCCAGAAAACTGGTTTGAGCTCAGATCAAGGGTTTGCAGTGCTGTCAGCATTCCAATGGAGGTAGGAATAGAACCAACCAAATTGTTTCTATAAGCTTCTAACAATTGAAGATTGGCCAAATTACCAATTTCAGACGGTAATTTGCCTGTGAGGCTGTTGTTGATGAGGCTTACGAACAACAATTCAGTGCAGTTGCATATACTCTCAGGTATTCTCCCACTCAGTGAGTTATTTCCAAAATCTAATAATTGCAGATTTTTGAGGTTTCCTAGCTCGGCTGGAATTTCACCAGAAAGAAAGTTTCGGTAAAGAATGAGCTGAACCAGCTCAGTGCAATGCCCCAGCTTGGCTGGGACATTTCCAGTAAATGAATTCAAAGTTAGATCAAGAACCTGGAGTTTGGAGAGGTTCCCTAGAAACGGAGAAATCTCGCCTTTGAGATGCATCCCAACAAGCGAGATGTTGATGACATGGTTTGAAGAAGGATCACATATGATTCCTGACCAGTTGCAAATGTGATTTGCATCAGTCCAATCCACAAGTGCACCAAAAGGGTCATCAGTGACTGAATTCTTAAAGGCATTCAAAGCAGCAACTTCTACTTCCAAACTTGGAGTTTGCCCAAAGGACAAAGCTATGAAAAAGGTACTAAAAGAAATGGCTAATGCATATACATTTGTCTTTGACATCATTGGTTCAAAAGAAAGAAGTTTCACTCTCTTTACAAACTTAAGCTGAAAATGAATAGTTTATACATTTTTTAATGATATTTGCTCACTGTTTTCTGTTGAAGAAGTCAACTAATCATCAAAACTAAAGTAAAATCTTGTATTCTATGAAGTTGTCAAAATTCCTACAAAAACTAGTCCTGTTAATAGAAAATTGAGTGCATTCACATTACATCAAGTCAACTGTTTTTTTTTCTAGAACTGCCATTTGGAGTAGAAATATTGTACAAATTCATTCCAGTTGTTTCTTTTCTAGCTTCTAGAGAAGCAGGAGAGTTAGACAAGCTGAAAGATGACATTCAGCGGTGTTCGTTTCCTAATCAGAGGTGAATTTATAGTGTAGTTTATGGTGCACGTGAACCTATGTTCTTTTCATCAAACTAGTCGTTTATAGGTACATATTTTCTAGATTGATCTAATACTATCTGTTCACACTCGGTCTCCAATAAGGCTAAATAGTATATGCTGAGTAAATCGCCCAAGGATCAATTATCACTTTATATATGTATTTATCCCTCCCTTTCTTTAAAATAGAAATCTTAGATTCGATTTTTTTCCTAATAGATTGAATATTATAAAGTCCTAATCCTGAAACTATTATTCAAAATGAAATCATAGGTGATTAACACTTAACCTACCTAAACCTTCTATAGGAACTAGTAATAAATGTTTAAATATATTTAATCCTTGGTCATTCACTCGTGTATACTTTGAACATTAGGTCAAAGAGAGACAACAGCCACCTAAATTAATCAATTTTTTAGTTGTCAACATGTTTGAATAAATTATGTACACACAATTTTTATCTGACCTCTATGAGATGAATGTGGCAAAAAGTATACAAATAAGTAGGTTTTATTTGAAAAAATAAATAAACTTGACTAATCATAACTTGATTTGTAGTCCACACGCCAATTATAGTCTCATGTTATGAGTCGCCAAATCTCCATCAATATTGCTACTAATAGATATCATTAGCTTGAGTAGGTTTGAATATCGATTTTAATCCTGTGTTATACTACTGAGCATATTCAATCTTTAGTTAATTAAAAATATGGTATTTGAACCTTCAATTTTTAAAAAAAATAATTTACTTAACTTTTTAGCTTTTGTTAATTTAAAAAACTGTTTTAACTAATCAAAAGTTGATTGTGCTCAAATGAATAATATAAGGACTAAAATTTAGAATAATGCAATAACCTAAGGATTAAATTGCTATTTACCCAAAGAAATTAAATAAGCATAGTGAGAGGAACAACTTTAGGCAATTTTAAATTGGAATAAAATTATTAGCAGCTTCAAATGAACAGGATGAGTTATTAGAAGGTTAAAAAGAGGATGAAAGAATTATGATATATTTCGTCCAGAGATTACTTAGATCGAAATGAGTGATAAATCAAGATAGGTGCAAGCGGATCTAATAAATCCTACGAATTCTTTTCTTTTTTCATATTTTTAATTATGGGTAAAATGAAAAGTAGTTTCAAATATAGCAAGTTTTCATTTACATTAGGGAAAATGCACAAAGTACCCCTCAACCTATGTCCGAAATCCCAGAGACACATTTATACTATACTAAGGTCCTATTACCTCCTGAACTTATTTTATAAGTAATTTTTTACCCCTTTTTAGCTTACGTGGCACTAGTTTTTAAAAAAAAAGTCAACCATCATTGGGCCCACAAGATAGTGCCACATAGGCTAAAAGGGGTAAAAAATTATTAATAAAATAAGTTCATGGGGTAATAGGACCTTAGTATAGTATAAGTGTGTCTCTGAGATTTCGGGCATAGGTTGAGGGGTACTTGGGCATTATGCCTTTACATTAACTAATAACCTGAAATTAGCAGTATATGTAGGTATCGATATTTTATAAATGGATATACCCGTGTATAAATGATATATAACTATTTATAAGAGATATGTATACATATATATGACTATATACATTGTTGATATATATTGCAGACCATTTTTTTTTCTCAATTTCAACCGATTCAAACCTCCCTCTAAACAATCTCAAATTTTAGATATAAATTTGTTTCAATCTTTTGAGTCTTTTGATATACTATTTATTCAAAGTGTTTCACATTTGCGGCATATTAATTTTTTAAAAATTTGAACTTCGAAGATACTGGAAGAGAGAATTATCACCAAATGGCCATTTTGATTAATTGTCCCTTTAGTTTCGTACCATAGGCCCAACAGTTTGGCTACTTGGACTATCCATGTTCACAAAAAACAACTAACACATATTATTCAATCCTTTATTGTTCTCAAAAAATAAATCGAGAGATTAAATAGTCACTATAATAAATATAATTATGTTTTATAGTTATAATTTGTATATTTATGGCTTATAGTTATATTTAAATTGTCTCGTTTGTATAATTCGTTGATTTGTATAATTTACAGATACACTTGTGTAAAACTCAAAAATAACGAATTGATACAATTACAAACATAAAAAATGGTATACAAAACAAAAAAGCTGAACCGCGTAATATATCTAAAAATAGAACGCGAATTGTAATTAAAGCTAATTATAACTATGTTAAGTAATTAACTAGTATATATTTGTTTATACTCATAATTTTTCAATGTGAGGAAACTAATTTCTTGGATATAATAAAATAAATAATGAGGAAAATTATCAACTCTAATATTAGACCCTAAATATTCAACTGTTTTATCTCACCAATTGGCGCTCTTTTTTTTCTTAAATAATCTGTCCTTCACTCACAGGCAACAGCTAAAACCCTAAACCCCCAATTGATTCTGATTTTTCTCCCAAAAATGCAAAGACCTTCTCCACACTCAAATTTCTTCTCTTCTCTCAAACAATTGGAGAAAAGATTGAAACTTGACGAACCAACACAACAAGAAGCCGTCGACACACCGACCCAGTCGTTGATCAGCCCATTATACCTTAACTGTGATGAGAGTGAGAACCATGTTGACTCCATCACCAGCTACACAAACCTCAAAGAAAGTGAAACCCCACTTCGATTTCTCTCTAATTCCCCTCTTGCCCAAGAAACCCCACCTCAGATAAACCCTACGCAAGTTCAAGAAAGAGTTGGTATAGTTGAAACTAGTGGTAATGGGGTTGATGACATTGAACTGTTGATGCAGTTATTGGGTTTATCGGACAGTAAAAGGGGAGGATCGAAAAGTGTGGAAGTGGATTTGGGTTGTGATGATGCATTTTATGGAAAGATTGTTGGGGTTAAAGGGCCAAAAAGTGAAAAAGAAGTGGAGAGATTAGAAGGTTGGATTGAGCATTTTCTGGATAGGAGTAATGGAGAGAGAAGAGAATCATTTAGGTTAGCTCATCTGCTTTTAGGCAAAGCTGCTCTTATTCATTCAGAGGTTTCTGAAGGTATTGGAAGCTTTGAGTTCCCCTCTACCATTGTTGAGTTCTTGCAAAATGATCCACCAATAGATGAGATCGCGTCTTCCCTCTCTTGTAAATAAATTTCAAGGTAAAATATGATGGATGACTGTAGGCTTATTAAAGCCTTTATTGAGTTTTCCTCAGTTTCACTTCTGTATATTTGTGTTGTTCATAAGTGTACTCATTTGCTGTAGTTAATCTTTAGTGACAGACTACATTAGCACTTTGGTTTGCAATCAACTGCTTGCTCACTAGTTCTATTACATGTCACTAGAGGACTTCGTAAAGATCTAGCTTTTTGCTCCTTAGTTGTGATTAATATGAAGTATTGTTGAATATGTTGTTCAATTTCATGATGCATGTCAACTTCAACATAATCTGACGGGACAGTATCATTATATCTTAAAGCAGGAATACTCGAGCGATCATCATTTATGGCTTGAAATACGGAAAAATTATTTAAATAGTAAATGCATTTTAAGTTATGAACTAGTTCCATTAGCCACCATGGGAAACTTGGTGGTGGTTCACATTAAGAGTGATGATATTCCAGCTTCTTCTACATCAAATTTAATCTTTTACCAAATGAGAAGGCATACAGTCCATCTTACTTAGCTTTGAAAGAGAAGACAGAACTTGTTCCATGTCAGGTCTATCTTCAGGATCAGGAGAGGTGCAGGACAAAGCCAAGTTAAGAAGTCCCTCTACTACATCCTGTTTCTTGGAGACATATGAAGCTAGATTAGGATCCACAATCTGAACTAGCTTGTTTATGCCATTCGCAAGGGCATTCTGAACAATTTGATGCAAAGTAATTGGTAATTCATCTGCTCCTGTAAGACTTGTTGGCCTTCTTTTTGTAATGATCTCCATCACAATTACACCAAAGCTGAATACATCTACTTTTGTGGTCACTTTCCTCATATATGCAAGCTCTGTTCACAGATAACATTTCATGTAAGTGAGGTCTCAAATGAAATTAGGAGCATGTAAAATGTCCAAGAAATTCAAATTTTCAAACATGGCGCTGGCATTTTTGGATAGATTAAAGCTGACATTATCATTTTAAAAAGTACTTTACAGATTATATGTCCAAAACATTGCATCATTTACTTGCTTGTCGATTCTTCCATATACAAGTTAAATCAGCATTTTGTGATTGAAAGGGAAAAAAAATCTGCTGTGCTGCGTCTTGTGATTGACAGAAGTGATGTTACTATTGAATGATGCTAAAATTGAATGTATTTGAAGCATTTACCATTGACAAAATATTATTTGTGGTACCCATATAAGCTCGTTTACATTATAGATATCTAGTATTCATGTTATTGTAACACATAATCTAGCAAGTAAAGTGTGGGTCAAGAAGTTGTAAGAATTATTACCTGGCGCCATGTAACCAATAGTTCCTTCAAATGCGGATGCTGATGATGTGCTGCTCCCATCCTGGAGATGAATACCCAACATCCTAGCCGTCCCAAAGTCACTCACATGTGCTTCCATATTTTTGTCCAGAAGAATGTTTGAAGGCTTCATGTCACAGTGCACTATTGGAAAATCATAGCCTGAATGCAGGTATGATAGTCCACTTGCAACTGAAACTAAAATATCAATCCTGTTGGACAACGTCCAGTCATCCTCTACTTGACCATAAATCATGTTGTCCAAGTTCCCATTCTCCATGTATTCTAAAACTAAAGCCCTTAGCTTCTTGCTTTCCCAAGCGTAACCTAGCACCTTAACTAGGTTCCTGTGTCTGAGTTGGCTCAGAGTCTTGACTTCCCTATCAAAACATTTACCAGATTCTGCTGAGAACTGGTGATTCAGCTTCTTAACTGCTACAATCTTCCCATCTTCCAGTGTTCCTTTGTACACAGTACTTAAACTGCTGGCTCCAATAATGTTTTCCGGACGGAAATTATTGGTAGCATGTTCCAAATCCTTTTGATAAAATCTCTGGAGGCTCAGTGCTGCGGTACACTTTGGATTTGTAAACTCCGTGTCATTCACTTTTTTCTTCTTCATGTACCGATGAAATAAAAATATTCCCAGGACAAGAAGAATGAGA